TCTCTTTTTCTTGCCCACTTGCTGTAGCTAGGACTTCCAGTATTATGTTGAATAGAAATGGTGAGAATGGGCATCCTTGCCTTGTTCTTGATCTTAGAGAAAGAGCTTTCCATTTTTTACTTTCAGTATGATGTTAACTATGGGCTTTTCTTATATAGTCTTTATTATGTTGAGGTAATTTTCTTTTAATCCTAGTTTTTTTTAATATTTTTATCATGAGATGGTGTTAAATTTTGTCAAGTGCTTTTTCTGTCCCTGTTGAAGATCATGTGAACTTTATCTTTCATTCTGTTAATGTGTTGTATCACATTGATTGATTTTGATGAAGCATCCTTGCATCCCAGGGATAAATCCCACTTGATCATGGTGTACAATCCTTTAATGGGCTATTAAGTTTAATACAGATTTAATGTGCTATTAAATACAAAAAAGGTATTTTGTTGAGGATTTTTACATCTATATTCATCAGGGCTATTGGCCTGAGGATTTCTTTTCTTGCGGTGTCTTTGTCTGGCTTTGGTATCAGGTTAATGCTGGCCTCATAAAGTAAATTTGAAATATTCCCATTTCTTTGAATTTCTGAAAAAGTTTGAGAAAAGTCTAAGAAGGATTGGCATTAATTCTTTTTTAAATGTTTGGTAGAATTCTCCAGTGAAGCCATCTGGCCCTGGGATTTTCTTTGCTGGGAGATTTTAGATTACTGATCTAGTCTTCTTATTCATTATTGGACTGTTCATATTTTCTATTCGTGATTCAGTCTTAGTAGGTTGTATGCTTCTAGGAATTTATCTATTTCTTCTAGGTTATCCAATTAGCATATAATTGTTCATAGTTGTCTCTTATAATCCTTTTTATTTGTGTAACATCAATTTTAATGTCTCCTATTTTGTTACTGATTTTACTTCTTTGAGTCTCCTCTCTTTGTTGATTAGTCTAGCTAAAGGTTCATCAATTTTGTTGGTCTTTTCAAAAAACCAACTCAGCCTTTCTCATTTTCTTCTGTGTCTCTTCTATAGGTATTTTCTTTGTTGCTACCAAGGGACCCATAAAATACCTTATAGTTATAACAATCTATTTTAAGCTGATAACCAAGGCCGCTTTTAATCCTGGCACAGTTTTTAGGAATGAGGTACAACAAATGGATTTTTTAACTTTCTCATTTTAATTTTAATTACTTTAATGGAATTAACTAGAATTAGTGGATGTATATTTAATGAGCCTAATGCAACTAAATCCCTATGGTATTTTTTTTAGAATTTGATAAAGTGATTCTGACATTCATCTGGAAGCATAAAGGGTTAGTCTATCCAAGAAACTTTTGGAAAAAAAATAAAGGAGGACTGGTACTATTAAATATAAAACAATAAACCTACAGTAGCAAAGCTGTACATTACTGGCACAAGCAAAGGAGTGGAGTGGGATGGGATGAGATGGGATAAGGGAGAACAGAAAGAATGCCTAAATCAACATATAAGGATGAATTTTTCAACCAATATTATTAGTATATTTGATTAATCTTTTGGGGGGAAAGGTAGATTCATATATCCTACTTTGTATCAGATGAATGCCAGACAGATAAAATATCTACTTTAAAAGATACTGACTTTAAACTAAAAAAGAACTGTAAGAAAATATAAATGAATCATATATTATAGTAGGGTGGGAAGGAATTATTTAAAAACTGTTAGATTTGACTTCCTAAAAACTAAAATTTCTATGCATACATAACTACTATTTTTAAAAAGTAAAGAGTGGGAAGGGATAAATTGAGAGTTCAAGATTTGCAGATACTAACTACTATGTATAAAATAAACAACAAATTTCTTCTGTATAGCACAGGGAACTATAGTCAATATCTTGTAACCTATAATGAAAAAGAATATGAAAACAAATATATGTCTGTATGTATGTGACTGAAACTTGATGCTATACACCAGAAATTGACACGACATTGTAAACTGACTATATGACAATTAAAAAAAAAAAAGTAAAGGACTGAAGACAAACTGAGACAATTTCCAACATACAGAATAGTCCAAGGATTACACTTCTAATATATGACAAAGGAGCCCTTACTAGTCAAAGAAATAAATAGGAAAATAGGCAAAAAATCTACGAAAGAAGAAATAGGAATGGCCAAAAAATATATGGGAGATTGTAGAACTTGGATGGCAATCCAAGAAATGCAAATTAAAGCAAGAGCTAGTTGCCACTTTCACCTTTCAGCTTGGCAAAGGCCAGTTCACGTCTCTGTGTTTGCACAGCCTGCATGGAACACCACCTCTCTAGGTGGCAGATAGTCCGTGGATATCAAAAGGCTTGAGATTTTTTTCAAAGACTTTGGTCTTTGAAAAAGCAATTACACTTCTAGGAATTTCTTCTAAGGGAATAATCAGACATGCACATAAAAATATGTATACTGTGCTCACTGCAGTATTATTTTTGACGTTTTAATTTTTTACTTATTATTAATGCATGATACACAGTATGCAATTATTATTTTAATGCATGATACAAAATCCAAAGGGTACTAAAGGGAATGGAGTGAAAAGTAATTCTCCCTCCCCTCAGTTCTGTCCTCCATTTCTCTCCTGTGGAGCTATCAGTTATTTATATAAATCCTTGCAGAGATACTCTTTATACAAATAAGAATGTGTACATGCCTGTGCTTTTTATTTTGTTAATTTATTTGATTTTGAATTTGAAGGTTGATGGTAGCACACCAAATGTTCCATGTGTACCTTGCTTTTCTCATTTACTACATCTTAGAACGTGCTCCATCATCAGAAGGAAGTACAGTGTGGAGGTTAAGAGCCCAGACTACTTGGGTTTGAATAAAGTCTACCACTTACTAGCTGTGTCATCTTGGGCAAACTTCTTAACTTTTCTGGGCCTTAGTTTCCTCATCTACAAAATGAATAGAATAATAGTTCTTACCTCGTAAAATTACTGAAAGGATTAAATGAGGCAACATACATAAAGTGCATAGATTAGTGTGGGATGCATCTTAGGTAAGATAAGTGTTAGCTATTATCAATGCATGTGGAGCTGCAGCCTTTTTAACAGCTGAATAATATTCCACACCAGAATTGTATTCTATTTTGTCCCACACTGATGAACAACTAGATTATGCCCAGCAAACAAATTGCAGTGTTTGTTACGACAAGCAATTGTCAAAGGAAACAATGTAAGTGTCCAAAGCTGGTTTCATTATGGCACAATGCATGACCATACAGTGGAATACAATACAACCAGTCAAAATAAGGTTGTAGGAGGATGTTTGATGAAATGTGAAAAGTTCACATATATTTTATTAAGTAGAAACAAACATTTTAAATATTTACTCAGTTTTTTCCACTATAAAAATGGTGTAGATTGTAAAAATTAAGACTCGATTTTAAAAAGTATACAAAAAAATAATAATCAACCTAACTCTATGATCCAGAGATCATCGTGCTTGTTTGACACATTGGTGAATCCCACATAATCTCTCTTTCAGGAAACTTGCACTGATTATCTTGTAGGAAGCAGGGGTTGCCATCTTCACTGAACACTGCAGGGAGCTGTGAGTTGGGTTCCCCAGAAGATGGCTGGCCACGCGTAGGTGGCATCGATTAAAACCGGTTGGAGGAGGGAGACTTGCTGTGGGCGAGCGGGCATCCCAGGAAAGGGGTGCTGCTAGGCTGAGTGTGCCCTTGAAGAATCGCAGGAGCTGTTCCCTTTTACTAAACCAGTCGTCATCTTTGTTTTGTGTTTCCTTTGACACGTTCATGCATTCAGTGAACACCTGTTATGACAGGCCTGTTTTGCACCATATAGGTGTCTGTAGGTCTTAGGGACTCAGACGTGAACAAGATATGTTCCAAGCCGGTGCCCCTAGAGCCCAGAAGCACGTCCCAGAGTTACAGACACAGTGCAGCACAGCGTCTGGAGATGCCTCTCCTGACCCTGACTGCACGTGCTTCCCCGCGTGTCTTCTTCATTGTCATTTCTTGGGGCTGCACAGTGTTTGCTCCGGTTGCTGGGCACTGATTTAATTAAGCATCCCCGCTCTGCTGGATGCTTAGATCACTGGCATGAACGCTTCATGGCCTTCAACACATCACTCACATGCTTTTCACATGGATTGTTCCAGTTTACAGAGTCACCAGCAGTGTTTGTGTGAATGGGCCAACCGAGCCTTACCACCGTTGGCCATTGTGTTTTTGCTTTTATCATTTCTGCTCATTTATTAGGTACAAAACAGGGCTTCATTGTTAAACATTCATTTATTTGATTACTGTTAAATTTTAACCTTTACTTCCTCTTAAGTGCATTATCTGTTTCAGTCCTCTGTCCCGTTACTTACTTTGGCTCTCAATGTGAAAAACAGACTCTGTATAGTGATGGTTAAAAGCTTAGATTCTAGACTCACCCAGACCTGGTGTATATCCAGCCCTGCTACTTGGGAGCTGTGTGACCTGGGACATGGGGGGCTCTGGGGAAGTGCTGAGGCCAGGAAAGGCATTCCTGGCAGAGGGGCTCTCCTGGAAGGCTGAGTCACAGAGTTCGGTGGCCTGGGTACATTCGAGGGACAGTGGAACAACCACTGCGTCTGGCTTCGTCTAATAGGGCTGCCAGGAGTATCGCTGGTTCATTTTGGCGATTTCATAAGCGTAATATCTGGAGTAAAGGCAGGCAGCACAAGGCCTCATATTTAGAGTTACTCCCAGGAAATAAAACCCAAACCCATAAAGTGCTAGGGAGAGGCAGGGAGGCGTGGTAGGAAGACCGGGAACCCTGCAGTCAGGCTGCTGTGGCTTGGAACACCAGTACCCTCACTGCGCAGTTGTATGCACTCCGAGCCCTGCACACTGTGAAGACCAGAGGTGATCTATGTGCAGGGCCTCTTACAACGTGGGCTGTTAAGAACCAGCAGTGAGCCAGGGAGACACATCCTACCATCTCGGGTGGATGAGGTTAGAATTTCTCCTGCCCAGTTTTTAGCCATCCGCCCTTGCTGGTCTGCCCCCTTGATGTCTCACTGCTGGAGGAACCGCTGCCCATTACCGGCTGCAGTGGGAAAAAGAGCTTCCAAAGGTATGTTTCTTTCATAGAGCATCAGGTAGAAGTCCCTGGAGAAATCTGTCACTGGGAAATGGAATAGGGGACTGACTGAAAAGGTGGCTGAGTCCTTTTTCTAGGAGAAAAGGATGTTTGGATTCTCAGCGGCCACATCTGCTTTTGAACTCTGTGCGGTCTGCGCCCTGGCCTCTCCCCGCCCCCAAATCCCTTCCCCCTTTTATTCAAACAGAGGAAAGTTGTGTTTGTTGACGACTCTTTCGGGGTGGGAAAGGAATGTGATGTATGCATAGACTGCCCAGAATTTCCTGTTAGACACCCATTCCAAACCACGGACCTGGGATGCATTCCAGACATTGCAGCCCAGTTCTGGGAGAGAAGAAACGGCGCATTCATTTAAATGCCGACCCTCGACCCTTGGGAGGAGCTCTCCCTCCTCCTTTAGAAAAAGATATTTAGCCCCCCGCCACTCCCCCTAATAATGTAGTTGTGAATTCAGCCGTATGGTCTCTTCAGGGTTGGAATGTGCTCTGACATCTCCGAGTGTGAAGAAATAGCCTTACTTTGGGAAATTCTTGGTGTCTAGTTTTGCAGCCACAACAGTATTGGTGTCCACATGTTTTTAATATTCTGCTATAAATACAGGGATGACATAAATCTACTGTGCAATACCTTTCTCAGTTCTGCTCCTGTGACAAGAAAGAAGCTGTTTCTGAGGACAGCTTCGGTGCTTTGACAAATTAGCAGTAGCCTCCGTGTGTTGTCAGTTTTTTCCTAGAAATTCTATTATACTGGGTCTTGGGCAGTCTGGACTGTAAGCGAGCACATAGGCTGGCTTGGCGCTGTGGAAATTCAAGGTCAACCTTCTTTGTCTTCTGTAGCTGCCAAGGTGCAGTATTTTCACTTGGGGAGAAACTTGAATGATTGGGGATGGATTCATCGTCAGTAGCAAACACGTCCGCCCGCGTTTCAGCTACTTTCAACTTCACCCTGAATTACTCCTTGGATTGTACAGAGATGTGGGGGCACTGGGAGTTCTAGGTCAGGTCAGGCATAAGGACAGATGGGTGAGGGCCTCACAGAGGAGAGTGTGCGATGCTCAGAACCAAAGTAGACCCCAGAGGTGCTGGTCCTGCAGCCAGGGGTTCAGGACGGCTCTCAGCCTCTCTACATCTGGAATCGAACCCAGGCTGGAACACAAAAATTGTGAAAGGGTGGTGCTTATGTGACGGGGCAGCTATCACACCAGTTAGGAAATGCTGGCTTTGGGGATCAACATTTCAACTTCTGGATACAGAAGGGAACCATCAGGTCAGGAAGTAAGAGAGTCATTAGAGATGTCCCTCTCAGGAGGGGAGAGTATAGCTCAGTGGTAAAGCACATGCTTAGCATGCACGAGGTCCTGGGTTCAATCCCCAGTACCTCCATTAAAAAAAAACAAAGACGGAAAAAAAAAATACTCCAAAAAACAAAAAAGAAATGCCTCTCTTGGCCTATTATTCCAACTGGTGATGGGGTCAGTTGTGCCTTCTGTCTGTTGGCATAAACAGATTCCCCTCGTCCCACTAAAGGACCAGATCCCCACTGTCAGCCACAGTGGACTTTCCCTGAGACATTCCATGTTTTTCACAGCAACCCTTTACTTCTAACCATATTTTATATAAGAGTTCCTAGAAGAGGCCTGAATCCCAGGGTTTATTTTAAGCTTCACGTGTGGAACTGCTTCTTATTTGTTTGTTTGCTTCCTAGCATTATTATTATTACACAAAGAAACCTTCACTAGGTAGGAGGTAGAGTTTTAAAGAGCTACTTCAGGTTCTAAGTTTAGAATTCACAAAACCAAAAGCAAAATGGGTCTGCCTACGTGTTTTCTCATGGAGGCAGGCTGCTTTGGTGAGGACTGTTGTCTGGATACAAGCGAACTTCTGAATGTTCACAGTGACACTGCACAGTATCCAAACCAGTCATAAGTTTTTGTTGCTATGTCTTAAGCTGCTAGTAGATTTCTCTCTCACACAAGCATACATGTTTTTGCTGCATTCACACAACAACCCTGTGGGGGTAGATATTATGATTCTCATATTACTATTGTGGCTTAGGCAAATGAAGTCACACTGGCTAACAGATGGCAGGGCTGAATTTGAACCCAAATATAACTCCAAAGTTCATTTTCTTCCCATGTATGTTCCAACTTGTATTTAAAGTCAGTTTTTTAATTGAAGCATAGTTGGTTTACAATGTTGTGTTAGTTTCTGGTGTACACCATGGTGATTCAGGTACATATATATATTCTTTTTCCTATTCTATTTCATTATAGGACATTATAAGATATTGAATATAGTTCCCTGTGCTGTACAGTGGGACCTTGTTGTTTATCTATTTTATATATAGTCATTTGTATCTGCTAATCCCAAACTCCTAATGTATCCCTCCACCCACTCTTTCCCCTCTGGTAACCGTAAGTTAACTTTTATGTCTGAGTCTTGTAAATAATTTCATTTGTATCATTTTTTAGATTCCACAAATAAGTAATGTCATATGATATTTGTTTTTCTCTGACTTACTTCACTTAGTATGACAATCTCTAGGTCCATCCATGTTGCTGCAAATGGCATTATTTCATTCTTTTTTATGGCTGAGTAGTATTTCATTGTGTATATAGATACAGATATAGATACACTACATCTATATCTGTATACCACATCTTCTTTGTCCAATCATCTGTCTATGGACATTTAGGTTGCTTTCACGTTAAAGTCCGTTTTTAAATAAGAAATTCCACTCTAGGCCCTTTACATGAAAGAGTGCACATCTGTAATTTGTACATATCCCGGAAATCTTTGATGCAGATTGATAGCCTGCATTAGTTATAATTTAAAATCTAAGCTGAGTAGCTCCAGTGACAGACATCAAATCATGACATTTGTGGTATGGGTCTGATAATGTGATTCCCAATTTTCACACAATCAAAGCCAGACTCGTCCCCGTGGTTTGCAGGGCCCTTGCTGTCATCACCCCGACTGTGTACGCCTCACCACTTCTTGGACTTCTCAAATATTTCATGCTTCCTCTCACTTCAGGGCCTCCAGACATTGCCATTCCCCTACGTCCTGTCCCCTCCAACAGTTTTATGAAACCATCAGCCCAGCTTAGAAGACGCTTCTTCTAAGAAATCACTCCCACCCCTCACCCCCAAATCTGGACCCTTCCTTGGGCACCAGCAGTGCCCCGTGCTGCCCTATCCTAACACAGCTCGGACTTTATCAGAGTTGTGTATTCAAGTGTCTCTCCTTAAGGGTGTGCGTGTCATGAGGCAGAGATGGTGCCTACATGATTCATCAGTTCTTCTACGTGGCCTCGCCTGGGAGCTCTCGTTTTCAGGCATAATCCTTTCCATTGCCAGTAACATGCCCAGTTAGTATTGGCTCAAAAGGAAAACGGAATGTATTCTCTTCCATAACTGAAAGTTCCGGAAAGGTCTAGTGTATTGAAACCACGTCCTCAGATGATGTCAGAGATCTGCCCCTCTCCACACCTCAACTACTTTCTCCTCAGTTTTGGCTCATGCTCAGGTAGGTGCTTCTCACTTGGTGGCAAAGGTGGCCACAGGTGGCTCCAGGCTTACACTCTGGCAGCTTACAAAAAGAGAACATCTCTTTCCCTTGCTGTTACATGAATCCTGGGGCAGACTTTCCTTGGCCCAGCATGGCTTATGGGCCCATCCCTAAGCTGATCATGTGGCTGGTTGGCCCGGCAATGGACTAAAGCTGGTGGAGTGAGAGTGGGGGAACTTTTAGCAGAAAGAAGGATAATGGATTTTGGCAGCAAAAATGTCAGGTGTCAGCTACACTCCCCATCAGTAGGTGGTGCTTTGAAGGTACTTTTTTTTTTCAGTGGAGGTACTGGAGGGGGAGGATATAGCTCAGTGGTAGGGTGTGCTTAACATGCACAAGGTCCTGGGGTTCAATCCCCAGTACGTCCATTAAAAAAGTAAATAAAATAAATAAATAAATAAACCTTATTACCTCTCCACCCCAACCCTATCCCACTCAAAAAAAAAAAAAAAGACAAGACTTAATGGATGTACCGGGGATTGAACCCAGGACCTCGTGCATGCTAAGCACCCACTCTACTACTGAGCTATCCCTCTATCCCAATATACTTGTTCTTGCTACCCGGCCAGCAGTCTGCCCAGAGAGACCAGGGAGGTATTTGGAAGGCTTCCTGTCTCGTCTTTAGGACTAAAGCCTCAAGGAGACCAACCATCTGTGCACTTACTGTCATAGGCCCTCTCTAAGCCCCTCTTTTGCTGTGCTGGAGGATGGGAGGTCCCCAGTCCTTGGAGCCAAAGAAGCAGACATATATGAGTGGGAAACATGGTCTTCATTTGCTGGGCAGCAGTGACACCAGGTCCAGGGGCCCAGAGAGAAGCGTTAGCCCCAAGGGTATATCCAGGGAAACAGCCACTGCCTGTTTGTCCACAGCATCACACACCCCCTGCATTGTCAGAGGGCACAGAGTGTGGCAGAGGAAGGCCTGTGCCCAACATCTCTAGCTCTTTACAGCCTTCCCAGGATTTCTGTCTCTCACCCAGGACTGCTCAGAGAAATGGAGAAATTTAAGTCTTAGGATCACCCCATCTGCCCCTGCCAGCAATCTCCTTTTACTACCCTGTGGGATTCCACTCCCGTGGGCCAACTGTCTGTATGGAGAGAAGGGCAGATGCTAGGACCAGGCATGGGCATGTCTTTGTCAGCAGAACTAAGGAAGAGGAAGAGGGGTAGTCCTTCTGACTGGCCTGCACTGCCAGAGCCCCAGGGAAACGGCAGCCTGTAAAGGCCCAGTTGGGGAGCCTGCAGGAGAGGCCGTGATGGGGTCCTTGCGTGGTCCTCATGCGGTCCTCCTCAATTGGGAAGGTGCTTCTTTTTGATGCACAGCTGTGGGCAAGCAGCCACTGTGTCAGATGCAGACGGGGCAGGTGCAGAGCTAAGCAGAGAGCTGACTAAGTGGTTGCCTCAACCTGAAAGCATAGTTCTTTTTCTAAGGAGCTGCAGGTAAACAGTCCCAAGAGCACTCATCTGGACTCTTAACCCCTACCTCCCTTTTCTTTCCTCATCTCTGCATCTCCAGTTTTTAGAGCAATTGAGTAGAATCACTTCAGAGATTTTTCTAGTTTTGCTTTCCCAGTTGCAGTTTAAGTAGCCAAGGTCTGTCAGAGTAAGTTATGCCTCCTGGTTTTCAGATGCCAGGGGTCACATGAAGACCCACAGAAGCCAGCCTTTGAGCCAGGATTTACCTGGAGAACCCCCACTCCTTTATGAAACAAAAGCTTATAGACTAGTGACAATAAGTAAGAGCAGACATTTATGAATTGCTTATCCTGTGCTAGGCACCATTCTGAGTACTTTATAAGAACTTTTAATTCTCACAACAGGCCTATTGTCCCCATTTTACAGGTAAAGAAACTGAAGCACAAAGAAGTCACGTGACCTGTCCTAGGTCCTGTGCATCTGCTGGTCGAGCCAGTATTGCCCCAGTCTCACAAGGATGGGCTTTGTCCTGGCCAGACCTGATGTTCATCTTGCCTGGTTTTCGCTTCTCAGGCAGGGTGAAAAGCAAAGGAGTAAGTCTAAAGATTTAGGTTTAGGGCTAAGATGTGGTTTCTCCTGAGCTTTACAAAGTTCCTGAAATCAAGCTTAACAGGATGATTTTTTCCCCCATTGTTAGAGTAAAATTACCATCAAACATTTGGAAAATAGAGAAGGGAGAAACATAAATACCCAGAGTCTGACAGTTACTGTTACATGGTAATGTATTTTTGCCAGTCTTTTCCCTGTTACAGTCTCTTTTCATTTGTCTTGCACAGTTATGATGAAGTCCGATGTACAACTGTTTATCTAGATTTTTTTGATCCAATGTTATAAGATAAACATTTGTCCATTAAAATACAGACTTTGATTTTATGTATCAGCTGAAACCCTTTTCCCAGAAGTTTATGAGCAAATGAAGGGCCTTCCGGATGATAGTTGGCGGAGAGGCAGCAGCTGGGGTGGAAGGCAGCAGTGTCATGAGACCCAGACAGCCCCACCTTGACCTTCCAGGAACAGTGAGTGCCAAGGGTTGGGTGAGGCGCTCGCTGGTCCTGAGCAAGTCCATCCATTTTCCCAGCTAGCCTAATTTTTAGAGCACCAGCCCAACCCGCAATTAGAAAGACCTCAGCCTCCTGGAGGTTCCTGCAGACCCTAGTACTGACTTCAGTTAGCAGAAGGAGGCCTGGACCCTCCCATATTCCTGGACACGAGACACTTGGGCTGCTTCAGCTCTTCCTGCAGAGAGGGGAGAACCTGAGTGAGCTGCCGGATCCTGCCAGGTGGCTTGGCTAGTAGTCATCCCACAGGTCTATTTGGAGCTGCTGCACAGCAGATAGTCATATGGTGGAAAGTCTCAGTGGCTCGCTGGCTCCAGATTCAGGATTTTTTTTTTTAGCATGTTAAGTTAGTTACTGGGAAGAGGGATGTGATCTGAGGATGAGAACAGGATCTGGGAAGGTGCATTTTGCCGAGCTGTTTACTGCCCAGCCTGCATGTCATGTCAACTGCTCTGTGTCTCCAAACACCCAGCTTGTTTCCTTGCAGAGAGATGTGCTATCAGCCGGGGAAGGGACGGTTTTTCCTGCCTCTGATAAACTGTTTGAGTGTGGCATAAGAACAGAAACACCCAAAGTCACAACAAGACAGCTGAGTCGGTCATTTCTGTTCAGTGTAAGTTTATTGCAGTGCTTTTCTCCCCACTTGGCATATTCCCTCCTTCTCAATCTGACCTAAGTTGTTTCCAGATTGTCTTCAGCATGTGAGCAGGGAAAGCACCCACCCTGGAAATGGGCCCGCTTGGGTTTGGACCTGGGCACACACACAATCACCCACTCACTGTATTTTCTCAGCAGTAAAATGGAAGCAGTAACATCTATCTCCTGGGGTAGCCGTGAAGGTTACTGAGAGGAGGATGGCAAAGTCCTGGAACCTGGAGGTCCCCCGGTAAACAGCGCGCATTATCGCTCCACCACAGTGGGAGGCCGCTGTGCCCGGTGGCCTGGCATGTGGGGCCTGAAATGAGGACACGGGTGCCTTGGGATGTGCCCCCGGAGATCCGCAAAGAAGATAGAACAGCCAGTTTTTCCAGGGACGTGTGGTTCTAAAGCTCATCATTAGCGAATGAGGATCTCTCGCTCACACTGACTGGGCCACGTGCCTGAACCCAGGCCCAGGACCATCGGTGCTTGTGGAGTTGCTGGCAAAGCAGCCTTTCAGTCTTTTTCAGAATTTCCATCGGAATGCATTTGGTTTTGCTGCTGGCAGAGGAGTACCCCCAAGACTCTAACCAAAGATTCTGTGATCTTTTTAAGAGGGAAGGTGTACAAAATCACTATACAGATCACTCAAGTGTACAAAAAGGAATCATGCCAGGGTTGCTTTGTGGGAGATAAACTCCAGCAGTTATCATGTGGACTTAATGATTTCCTACAGTGGTGATTTTCCCATTAACCCCGAGCGAGGGCCTTTTGCCTGTGGTCTCTACTCAGCGCCGCTGACCCACCCAGATGTGGTATGTGGTGGGACAGCCCCGGCTGCATTCCCAGGCAGAACGCCCCAGCACCTCCAAGTTGTCAGTCTCCTCCCCTTAGGTGTGTTTCTCATCTGTACTAATTTTTGCCTTTTATTTCTGACTTGTGGCAGCTTGTCTAGAGCCCTGGATATCAGAAAGGATCCAGCCCTCCCTCTGGAGACTTAGTCCAGGACAGGACAGGGGATGAGTCCGTGGCACAGTATTGCCCCGGGTCGCACGAAGATGGGCTTTGTCCTGGCCGGCCCTGATGTTCTCTGCCACATCTCCTGCTGTTTCTGTTTGTAGGGTGATAGAAGACTTCAGCCCTGAGCTCTGTGGGTCCAGACCCTCATCAGTTTCTTGGCAAAGAGGGCTGCTTTGTGCCTTCACATGTCTTATTCTTAACCCGTGAAGTTAGTCCTTTCTTTCCACGGTGAGCAGAGAATGTCCAGGAACGCAGTTTCAAAGTGACTCTTCCTTGGTGCCCTTAACAGAGGAGTGCTTCTCAGGGAGTGTCAAGTCTGATTTGTGCCTGAAAGGATCTGTGTTTTGAAGTAGCGCTTAGCGCAAGGTTGGAAGACTTAATCTGCTGAGTTCAGGAATGCAGATGGCGCCTGACGCCAAGGATGGGTCAGTTAATGAGCAAGCAAGCATTCCCCCACTGGGCTGAGGTCAGAGGAACTCTGTCCAGCCAGCAGGAGTGGGCTCCATCGACCATCTGTCCCTCTAGGATTCACATAACAATCTTTTAGAGAAACTTTCCGGCGCCCCTGGTCTTAGCCTGAGTAGGTCTCCTGGTACCCGGGACTCCGGGGCGACTGTATGTTCGAGTTTTCACGTTGCATGACAGCTGTGAGTTCCCGCTGCTGTTGGCTGCAGTGTGCCCTATCTCTCTTTCCAGCATCCCAGTGCAGCGTCAGCCTGAAGAAACAGAGGAGCCGCAGCATCCTCAGCTCCTTCTTCTGCTGCTTCCGTGATTACAATGTGGAGGCCCCGCCAGGCAGCGGCCCCAGTGTGCTTCCGCCGCTGGTGGAGGAGAACGGTGGGCTTCAGAAGGTCAGTGCCAATGCGGAAGGAACCGCAGGAGCCGCATGTCTGTCCCCGCCCTGATGAGCAGCCTTAAGAATCTGTGGCAGTATGTCTGCAGCCACTTACTTAAAGATTTGAAATTACAAAAAAGGCTTTTTTTTTTTTGGTTAAAGGATATGTCAGTTATTCCCATTGAGCAACTAAAGAACATATTTGATGCGAATTATAAGACACTTCCCATTTTTATAACATTCTCCCATGAGAAGTTGAATGCATGAAATAGAGATAAGAACCAGGAGCAGACAGAGAAATGGAAAGGCTAGAGGAGAAGCAGAGACTTGGAAAAGAGCCAATAAAAAATAGAAATGGATTTAACTACCTTGTTTGATAACAGATATATTTGATATATATTCTTGCATATGTATCAAATAAAAGATGTTAAGTCAGAGTATCACAATAGGTTAGAAAGAACAAATTCTACCCACATGCTGTCTAACAGACGTATTTGAAACAGAATGACTCAGAACAGTTCAAAGTAAAAGAATGAGCAAAAAGACATCACACAAACATAAAGAAAAAGAAAGCAAGGGTTACAATAGTCATCTCAGTCAAAATAGAATTTCAGGTAAAAATCACTGAGTCAAAGGAGATTATTCATTATGAAGATAGTCAGGATCAAGGACACCAAAGTCTTAAAACTTTATGTCCCAAATAACATGAGCAAAGGGCATGAACAGGCATTTCACAAAATAAGAAATACGGTTGGTCAGTAAACATGAAAGAATGTTCAGTATGGTCAGTAATCAAGGAAATGCAAACTGAAACAATGAGATACCATTTTCTGTCTATCAAATTATGAAAAGATTTTTTAAAGGTAATATTTGAGTGTGGCATGGGAGTAGTAAGAGAGTGGAGGATATAAATTGGTTATTGGTAGGACTACATTGGCTGCACCTTTCTGGGGGGATATTTGGCAGTATGATCTCAAAACCTTAAAAATGTGCCTATTCCTTCACCCAGGCAGTTCCAGGTTATTGACATAATCATGGATATGCAAAGATTTAACCCTAAGATACCCTCCAGCATAGATTATAATATTGCAGAATTATGAACAACCTGATGATTAACATTAGACTGTAAAAGACATAGAATAACCATACAGTCAACTAGTGTGCAGCTGTTAAAAGTGAAGTCTCATAAATATAACGAATACAGGGAAAGGCTCACAATGTATCTCCTAGAGGGAGAAGGTTAAAATGCAGTAGGCAAGTATATTTATAAGTATGCATATGGTCATAAGTGCATACACACACACACACGCACAGGCATTATAAGACTAGAATGATGTATGTCAAAATATGAAGAGGTAGGATATGTGTAGGGTTTTCTCCTCTGTGCTTTATTTCTTTTTCTTTCTCTCTCTTTTTTTTATTTTCCCAATTTTCACAAAATAAGCTTAAATTACTTTTGTGGTTAGAAAATAGATTATTCTAAAAGTACACGTGAATGTAAGGAAGAGGACTCTGAGAAGACGACAGCTCAAACACGTGACTCTGACCCTTTAAGTTCCCTCTCTGGATAAACCCACGTGAGCCTGTGGGTGGAGCCTGGGAAGTACATTATGGCCTCCAATTTTCCTGACATCTCCAAGGGAAAGAGTAGACACAGGATTCATTCTCTTGGATACTCACAGAGAAGCAGGGAGCCACCAACAGAGGAAAATGCTTCCTCTCTTGCAGTCTTAGGACAGAGACTTGAAATGCATAGTCCTGTGAGATCAGCCAGCCAGCGGAGCCTGGGGTCCCCACTTGAGGTGCGTGGCCCTCAGAGAGGCTTCACTGATGAGCTGAATTGCTTGCAGTTCTGGTGCCTGGAGGAGCCCAGTGGTGCAGGGACTTTCTCCGTCTCTTGTGCTTTGTCACTTTGGGCTCTGCTAGACCATGGAGACAGCTTGGCCTTGCAGCACTCCCTCACAGTTTACCACTGCCGTGGAAGTCCTCGTTGAACAACGAGAATGTGAAGCCCCTACTGAGGTAAAACTACTGGAAGAGATAGAAGAAAACTTCAACAGACTGCTCAGAAAATGATATTTCAAGAAATAAATTTTGACTACAAAAATAACTTTTGAGGGGGTGGGTATAGCTCAGTGGTAGAGCGAATG